ATCTCAAGCGAGGCCAGAAAGGCTAATTTAAATTTAAACAAAAGAATATTAATCCGGCAGCTATTAACAGGCAACTTCTGTTCGTCGACATTTTTTTCGTCGTGTGGATTGCGTTCCTGTAAACTAAAATAAATGCGAACTTCTGACAAATTTTGAGTGGCTGGAGATCGGTCCAAAATAGCCTTCGCGATTATCACTGTAATGCATGTAAACCACCTTTTGTTCAGAAATATATATATATATATATTGTGGGAGGAAAAAGACAAGTAAACTACAAGTTCATCCCTACAAGCCTGTTTCTATATATATATATATATATTTTCAAACATTTATTCTATTTAAGTATGATTATTTGGGGTGTACAAAGTCAGGGTTTCCCTTGTATGAATTTGCTTAATTGAAATCAGCCTGTATCCGTAATTGGATCCTCCTTTGTCATCCACTAAGTTGACTTCAGTCGTGTATCTTTAATAGATCCTTAGTTGGGTTTCATATGGGGTTATAGGCTTCCCCTACCGGTCACCTTGAAAAGTTAAATTTCCCAGGAGACCACGTCTCCTATCACGTAAATCACATCTTTGATTGCCGTGTTGCCAGCATGGTTGTCCTGATAGTGTAGTGGTCATCACACCTGACTAGTAACAGGAGGGACGTGGGTTCAAATCCCGCCCAGGGCAAATTTTCTTTTCAAACATTTATTCTATAACAAGTTAAAAGGCCTCGAGCAAACGGTGACGCCACGCCAGAAGGGATCGAAAGGGATTCACAGTCCAAACCTCGATAAATAGTAGGAAAAATATTGTAATAGACGAGGACGGACAACTTCGAGCTAAGAAAGACATATACTCAAATAAAAAGTCCGAGAAAGTTTAATAAAATACGTTTCGGTCCGAGACCTTCATCAGTTGTAATACAATGACTTACGAATTCCTTCAATAGATTTACATGGGGCGTGATGAAACACATATGTGTCATCACGCCCTATCCAAATCTATTGAAGGAATTTGTAAGTCATTGTATTACAACTGATGAAGGTCTCGGACAGAAACGTATTTTATTAAACTTTCTTAGACTTTTTATTTGAGCATATGTCTTTCTTAGCTCGAAGTTGTCCGTCCTCGTGTACTACAATATTTTTATATATATATATAATATTATAACAACGAATTGGGTCATTCGGTCCAAGACATTTAATTGCTACTGAGAGTTTCATGCTCCATAAGGAGCAATCATCAGGCAACTGCCTGAAAAACGGTAACATTCAAAGTCATTTGAAAAAAACCGTTACATTCAAAGTTTTGAAAAAACGTGTGGCGCGCGCTAATAATGTGATGACATTTTTAGCAGAAATTTCCTAGAGTGTCTACAGGACGATGCTAATTCATTTCGGTTGTTTAAGGTTGACATTTCGGGCTTACACAAAATGAAATACTCCCACAAACACAAATTACAATTCTTGGTGACGTTTGAGTAATATCTTGCCCGTTTTACTTTGCGCCATTTAATGTTGTACTCATTGTTTCGGTCTTTCAGGTTCCAAATATGCTTACTAAGCTCAGTTGCGTTTCGGCGCAGTCTGTGGTACGTAAACTTATCTCGCTTCTTTCTTCGCTTTATACATTCTCCTGAGCAATTTTAACTATTGAAATACACTTAACATCTTTAAAAATAGCTTATCGGGAATATTTATCAAGCTTGCTGTCCCTTACCGAGTGAATCTGCCTTTATTTTTGCTGCCGGGTTTGTCGAAGGATCGAAGCAGTGTGCACATGGAGAACGCAGCGAACGCAAGGAGAAATGCGTAAGTAGAAAGTCTAACTTTTCCTTTTCAAACCTCAAAGACTACTTGAAACTCAAATAGCTGAAGCCGAGGAATGACGAGGGTTTTGAGGGACCGTGTAAAAACTTTGCTTTGGTGTTTATAAACCTCCAAACTGGCAATTTTACAACACATAAGCTTAAATATTTTAATTCACTCATTCACTGTGCACAGGATCGCTTACAATTTTTTTTTCCAAACGTTGGAATCCCTCGTCCCTTTGAACGAAGTCATTTTGAGTATTTAGACGTGCAAAAACTGCCGCGAAGACGCTTAATTTATTGGTTTTAAACTTTTCATCCGTACTAGGTTTGTAGTTCGCGCTGCTTAAAGTTGAATTTTGGCGGGCTACGGCGACGTACTCTCCCCAAGCCTCGTCAACCACGATAGCCGTGGCAGCGCCAGCCGTAGTGATTTGCTTAAACTCCCCATCATCTACGAAGCAACTGTCACAACAACTTCAGGTAACGCAAGGAACTATCTTGGAATGACAGAACACGCATTCAAAACAATATATACCAAGAACGACCTTTCCATAATATACCAAGCCGACCTTTTCAGGTCTGATTTTCGCTATTGCATAAACAGCGCTCTCTACTGCGAGGATCGTGCATCATACGTAAAAATAGTATCTTCACTGCGCGCGGTGAGGATAAGATTTTTAGTAAAAGGAGAAATCCTGGTATTTCATCAATATCTATGTAATAAATATATATAATGTAAACAAACAGTAAACTTCTGTGTCGAATAAAGATACTGAAATAAATGAAAAACGAAAGTCGTCTTTTTCTTTTTTGTTCTCTTTGCCTTTGCGCTACGCGTTTCACCGCTGTTGCGGCGCTTCAGGCATAGCAAAGTGTGTTTTCGCTATCTATAACGAAATAAAACCTGAAAATTTTTTATCCCAAATGGTATCGAAGGAGACATTTACCTCTGCGTCATCACTTTCAATTCTTCTTCTATGAAAGGGATATGCAAATCGAAATCCGGTGGTTTTTAATTTATTTGGATTGACCACAAACTTGAGTAACTAATAAATAAGTAACAGATAACCGTTAAGTATTTGTCAAAAGTCCAAGGGTTTGAACCCATATTTCAATTTTGTCACACACTTTAAGAGCTATTAGTCACGAAAGTCGAGGGCAGAAGATTTTTATCCCGCGTCAATCTAACTAGCGAGGAAAAATCAGTGCGTTCGTGTGTTTGTTCAGCTAGTAATTTGCATATCTAAAGATAACAGGTGAGACTGGTTCCAAAGTGACTCGGAATTCCTGTCGAACGTCCTGCATTTGGCTGCAAAGGAAGACGAGCGAAGAGAGCCATGTCGAATACTGTGGAACCAGGATTGGCGAAGTGGACAGGAATTATAAGTATCGCTGCCGGTGTATGTGGCTTGGGAAATTGTATCTGTGGATTTATTTGGCTTGGGTACAGCGGCTATGGAGGCCATGGACTATGGTCGGGCTTTGGCGTAAGTTTGAACTCACTATCTTCTTGAACACTTTAAACAGGTTCTCAGTTTCTTATCAGCCTAATGTGTTCTGTTGGCAACGTTTGTGTTAGAAAGACTAGACAAAATCAAAGCGACTAAATACAGAACCGCAGGCGCCAGGAGTCGCCTCTAGTACGCGCAAACCCGTCTAAAGAAGCAAAGAGAAAAATGTTCCTTTTAGCAGACGAATTAAACTCACTCTATTCGACATTTTATTACTCCCTACGCGTTAAACTTCGTCTTGTATTCTTTTCAACAAAGCTTTAAGTACAAAGGAATTCTTTGAATAGTAATTCATTTTTAATGTACTAGACCGCGGTAGAGCCTGTAGTACGATCATATATATTTTTAGCTTTTTCTTCCTCGTAATCCGGCCAAGACGCTTATTTTCAACAAATAAATAGATCATCGCGGCAAAATTCAGGTTGGAATGGTAAAATTATCTTCTTCCATTTCATATTCCTAGCGCAAAAATTAACTCAGTCATTTTTGTAATTCTACACAATTCAAGTGGCGATGACACTGTTCATCAGATAAACACCGACGAAAGTAATTGATTCCTCCATAAATGTCCTTAGATTTTCATTTTTTTTAAAACAAATGTATTTTTTGAGGGTATCAAAGTAGTCTAAGGTGTTAATTTATATAGAACGGCCATTCAAGTTTCAGACTAGGAGTATAAAGCAAACCTGGGTGAAAACAGCTTTGTTAAATAGTCGTTTGAACAAAAATTTTAACCTCGTGAGAGGACGGGTATTCTGAAGTTGCTCCTAATACCCGGCCACTCATTTACATGTCATTGAATAAGAATAGCATCTATTGTGTTATGCCTCATTCTTCAAAGCCTCCCGACACATGTAAATGATGTGGACCGGTATTCTGAAGTTGCTCCCGCATCGTCTGAGAAGGTTCGAAAGTTTGGCATCTTCATGCAGAGAATGTTCAACGTCCAGTTCGACATTTGGCGCGTAATCAAAATGTTTGTAATGTATTCATTGCACGTATTACTATATGTTCTCTTCTTTACTCGTTTTTCTGGAAAATACAACCCTATTACATTACTGACATTTTCAAATAAACAAAACGACGAACGAGCAATACAAATACAGTTCTAATGCAGGCATCCTTTCTTATCAGTTAATAACTTTTTTTTAACCATCCGTCACTTCTCTTAATGATAATGGTTTCCTACGCAGTGATAAATGAGAAAACATGATGAAGAAAAAACAGAATTGAATATCAGCAGTAACTACTGATTTTTCGATCATGTTTACTTTAGGTAGTGTCGGTGGACACCATCGGTCGATATAATTACTGTTCTCTCTCAGCATTAAATCAACGATTGTAGTCTTTAAGATGACAAAACAACTGTATGAGGAAAACGGAGGCGGTCCTTTTTGTTAGCCGGGAAATATATCAGGGGTAATTAAAGGCGCTAAATAAGCATGCTGCAATATCAAAAATATTCCAGTGTGCAGGTTACAATTATTAAAAATATTGCTTCTTCCACTCCTCAAAGACTTTCAAAACCCACGCCCATTTGCGGCTGTCATCGGGGCACATTCGGTTCGCGAAAGCTTTTAAAACCGGCCAAAACATCGAAGACGCCGTAGTGCTTGGGTGGGGCAGGCAGATTTCGGAAAACTCGGGCTAATCAATAACTATCACAGCGGTAACTGTCATCGCTTGTCAGTAAACTGCAAACGACTCGACTGGTCGTGGAACTGACCAGGCATATGGCGCTCGAAGTAATCTTCGCTGACGTCGATTTCTCGCTCTCATCACAGCGGCAGTCAAAACAGTTGAACAGGCGTTAACCCATCTTTCATGGATCATACGAAAGACAAAAAAGTGCTGTGATTTAACTGAATAAGAAGAATAAGCATCACCTTGATCTTTATTAACAATGCTTCAACGGGACGGATTTTTTTTAACGTTTGTTTTCCTTTTTCAGCTGACTGCTCTAACATTTTTTTCACCTAGTGCGACCCTGATAGTTTAAACCAAAAGTTTGCTTTCCGGTTGCGGTTTCAAATTTTCTGTGTTTCTTTTTACCGGCAAAGTTGAAAACTTTACCCAAGTGCGACCCGTAACAATTCTGAAGCTGTAATTGGCGTTCTAAATCTTAGCTCTATTTAAAAAGAGAAAATGAAAATGGAAACTTTAGAAGCCGATAAAGAATTAAAGCACTGACAGAACTGTCCAAACGTTACACTACATTATCTTCGATTTCTGCTGAAATATCTGCCTTCGTAGAGCTCTGTGTAATAAATAATCCTTCGTCTTCCGACGAATCCCATCCTCTTTCTAAACCCAGGTTCGCACTGAGTAAAATGACCGAATTCTCTGGCTTATAAAGTATGCAAATTAGCAGTGTTACACGCCTTGCACGAATTAGTTCCATCATCAGAACTGTTTTGAACAACTATAACAACGAGCTACAATAACAACCCTCGGCACAATTAAAATCTGAGATATATTCGTCGCAACAAAGAACAATAGCAATGAGCATCACACATAGGTGCGACTAAAATCGAAGATCCAACACAGCCACAGAACAATAGGATTTCATGGGGATCAATAATTATAATAGATAATCACTTCGGCATAATGCCGTATGCTTCAGTAATTATCCATTAAATATCGACCGATTCTAAACCTATACTCCACCATCCTCGGAGACCCAGTAGTCTCCCTCGCAGCCGTTTTTAGTCTCGTCACGCAACGCTTCTTCCCACAAACGGCTGCTCACATTCGAACAACATTCCTTTCCGCTACTTCAACCAATCACTATTTGGGTTACATATGCCGAGAACTGTGCGCGCCAAAGTAGTCTAACCAATCATATTGTTTGTTTCATCTTCGAGTTCATAGCTTTCAAAATGGCGTCCAATGAAGAAACGTTTGATGTTGTTAGTAATACATTTCGAATTCCTCGCATAAATGCGCAGCAAAAAACTGGAATTAGGAAAATAGTTGAGGAAAGAAAGGATGTATTTGTCAATCTTCCTACTGGTTTCGGGAAATCTCTCCTGTATGAAGCACTACCACTCGTGTTTGATCTTACCTCATAAGAGCCTGGTCGTATCGTCGTCGTTGTCTCACCATTCGGGAAAGCCTTATGAACGACCAAGTGTCCCATTTGAGGAAGCTAGGGCTAAAAGCAGGTAACATAAGTTCACTTGAGGGTGGTAAACGCACTCGTTTCGAAAGCGGCGAAGATTCCTTACTTTACGGATCCCTGAAGCGTGGTTAAAGAACGAACGCTGGAGATTTATGCTGACGAACTCTGTGTATTCCATGCCAAAAGACCCTGTGCCATTGCCGTCGATGAAGCGCATGTTGTAAGACAGTGGTAAGTGTTTAAATAAAAATGAGTCTGCAGCAAAGTGTTATGTTACTTGTATGTTTTAAATTAAGCAGTATAAAGGAAAGGAGAATAAAAATGTAAATATTGTAAATAGAAAATGTAAATAGTTTAGTCAGTATTAGTATTACACTGTTGTCTTATTTTGGTTATCGTTATTTTATTCTGTCTGTGTTATATTACACATGATCATCTGTAAAAATATTGTGTCTAAATAAAAAACATTATCATCCCAGTATACACTTCTGAATGCTTCAGATTACCAATAAAATTGATATTGGGTGCCATGGTGTAGCCTATTTGATTGTCACTACTACATAGATAAAAGGTAAACTTTTTAAAATTTTATACCCCTAGACCCTAAAGGGAAGTAAATGTCCCATCAACCTATTAAAACTATGCTTGAAACTAACATCGTGTAGGGAACTTAGTCTGACAGGACCTGTCCTGACACAAATAAAACCTAAAAGGTCTAAGATGGTAGATCCCTAGACCCTAAAATGGAGATAAATGTCCCATCAACCTATTAAAAACCTATGCTTGAAGCCAACGTCATTTGAAGAACTCAGTCCAATAGGATCTTGAAAGTCCTGGCAATGTTAAAGGAGCTAGAGACTACAGCTCTCTGCATGTTCCTTAGCACTGAATGACATTAGTATTATTATTATTAAATTATTAAAATTAATAAATTTTTCATTATTATATTAATATTATTATTATTAGAAATTTCATTATAGATTAATGCTGTCTATTTTCCTTTGATGTGTAGGGGAACATCACAAGATAATTAAATGGAAGCATTCTGTGAGTCTTACTTGAACCTTCTGAACATGAAAAATGCAGTAGAAATTAAGGAAAGTCAAAATAAATCAAATGTATATGGATAAGGACATGGAGCTGGAATTCTGTTTTGGCTGGCTTACTGATGAACTGAAACAGAGTCAGGAAAAAACAGAAAGAACTATTATTTATTGCCAGACTATAAGATAATTACTTTATGCTACCATTAATGTTTTACTTTAATGTTTATTGGAAATGATTCAAAACATGTGGTTGTTGAAATGTTGTATTCCTGCACTCCTGAAGCTAATAAGCATAACATTTTGGAGTCCTTTCACAGAGTGGTGGAAATCACTGTGGGGGAGGGGGTTGGGGAGAACAGTACAGCTTCTTTGGCCCTCCTACTACATTGTGGTAAGAAAACGAGTGATCTAATAAATTCATCATATTTTTAAATCAGATTACTGGTCAATTTCATTGTCTGATTAGTGACATAAATTGTTTGCTACTCATACTCTATCATAGCAATTGAAAGTTTTGTCATATGAAGTCACAAAAGATGGAACATCTGTTTGAGATTAGTTACATTTCAGTTGTGAAGAAATTACTGTATACCTGTACATGTAATAGAGAAAAATAATTTATGCTAATGGTGTGAAGTTTGATTAAGAATGCTATGAAAGATTCCATGGGTTATATTGATCAACTCATTCTTTGAAAATTGCATCTCTTCATTGGTGCTGCTGCTGCCAGTATCAAATTGTATTCTGCTTGCATATTGAGCAAAAATTTTAGACTGCTATTAGTCATTAGTCAGTGAGATTGCAAATCTTTCAGACTTTTGAATAGATCAGATTCGTATGAAGACATTTATATCAGTAGTTGCAGCTCCTGGGTACTTCTTGGGTTAAAATCTGGGCTAACAGACTTTTTCAGGGTCCTGTTTTGACATTTTTTGGCTGTAACAGTTTGTCATCATTGGCACATACTTGTCACTAGGCTCTCATATATCGTACATTTGTGTTGTTCCAGACTATTCATAGACTACTTAACACTGCAGTGGCATACTGAATAGACAGTGTGAATTCTCAAAAGCTATGGACTACAGAATTTAATTTCCCATGAGGCAACAAAAAAAATGTTTTGTTTACTCTGTTTATCTAGCTCTGATACCCCTGAGCATGTTTTTCTTGTGTTTGTTTATCCAGTGATATAATTTTGAGGCATCTAAATCAATACACCAATAGAACCAATAGGAAATCTTGCCGGAATATAACGTCCCTGTTGGCTGATCATGGTAGAAATATTAAAATTGGCTGTAGCATTAGAGGTACAAGTCGTATTGATCGGATTGAATTGTACACATTTCAAGGATTTCCCATGGCACGAAGCTTGGATTTCACCACTGTCGCTCTCAACGCTCAATAAGGGCTTCTTTCTGGGAAGTTCTCGATCCTTGAAGATTCCCTTCAATTCATCTTTGAGCTCTTCAAGATGAACAGAGGCCTTTTTAAACTTGATCAATCGTCGGTAGCAAGCTTGACAAACTGACAACTCGCTAGTCGCTGAATAGCAGCTCACATTCACATCCAGACAGGAATTAATATTCGCTGGAAAATCAAAAGAACTCTTTCCAAAAACATAAATTTTTTCTTTTGTCTCAACTGAAGTGGAACAAATAAAAGAACGATCACTTTGCAAAACCTTCTTCAGCGTTTCCTCCAGCAAGAAACTACGATGAAATGCAGAATTTGAAAACGTGGGAATAATGATATTGATTACAATCTCTTGTGCTCTGATTGGTCACATAAGAAACAATGCCAATGATCTCATTGGTGCAAAGACAACAAAGGGAAAGGAATGTTGTTCGAATGTGAGCAATTGTTTGTGGGGAGGAGCGTTGCGTGACGAGACTAAAAACGGCTGCGAGGGAGACTAGAGACCCAGAGGCTGTGAGTCGATTTCAAGTTACGGCAGAAGAGCCCCTGCGGAGATTGTTTTACAAGACTGGTTCCAAACGGTCGCAATCGTTCTGGCATCTGATTGGTGCCAGAAAATCTTTGTGTTTTTCTGCCCATTAGGAGTGAAGTATTCTTTAGAGTATGGGGTGCCAACCCAGTCAATATTCCCTCTGTATTTCTGTGACCCAGTCTACTTTTGACATGGTCGACTTGACTTTTTATATGGTCAGCTCGACATTTTGTATGGTCAACTTGACTTTTTACATGCTCAACTTTTAACTTTTTCTATGGTCAACTCGACTTTTTATATGGTCAACTTGACTTTTTACATGCTCAACTTTTGACTTTTTCTATCGTCAACTTGACTTTTTACATGCTCAACCTTTGACTTTTTCTATGGTCAACTCGACTTTTTATATGGTGAACTTTTTACTCTTTTTATGGTCAACTCGACTTTTTACATGGTCAAGTGGTAATCTTTTGAATCGTTCCATAATGCATTGCGCCCAATCACTAACAAAGATGGCTGCCAATGCTCCACTCTTTGGCTTTTGAGGAAAGAATGGCCCAAGACCCCTCTAGAGAACGCAANAATTGAATTCTGTATTCTTTGCTTTCACAGGATATATATCAACTGAACTGACAGTAGTTGCAAACTTGTATTTTGATGTTTTTGAAAGAGAACTTTAAATACTTATGGAACTCATTGTACGTTTAATAAATCTAACAATATAACATGTTTTAAACCCAACAAAAGAACCCTAACATAATTTCCATCTATGTCTTTTTTTTTACAAAATTCATGCTAAGAAGCCTTGATAACAAGATAAAATGAGTATGTTCAGTTGTAAGTAAGCAAACCAATCTTGTAAAGACTCAACTCAATGTAAATATACATTGAAACTGAACAGTCTGATAACAAATGAAGTTGAGTAAGCTATACATGGGGAGACTACTTTTTGGTACACATTTATGCTATTTGCTCACACTATGTTCATCTCCCAACTATCTACATTTAAAATGGCCATGAATTCTCTGAGCTCACAAAAGCTAGAATATGTGCTGGGCACCTCTAAGGTGTAGCTACAGGTGTGGGCAATAGGCCTTCTCTGTAGACCTTCGCTCTGGGTGAATGATATTGTCAATCTGTCAGTGACAAGAACATCAGATGCAGTTGTAAACCTCAAAAATGAGGTAAGCTTAGCTTGGTCAAGCCCTCTAATAAATCTCTTGAGGTGGGCCAGTGTTTCTGTCTCAGCTGCTGTAGCTGGACTGGCTTCAAGTAGGCCAATAACTTTCACATTACTTGGAATAATTGAAGAATAGAATTGATGTAAAGATTTCACATCTGAAAAATCTTGAGGTGGGCAAGAATTGGTTGCCAGCAATCACTTACATATTTGGGTTTTTGCACTATTTCCTTATGAGCAACCTCTCTCATGATTTCTACAAAGTTACTGTGTGTGACTTTTCTCTTACAGTCAAATGCTGACAAAAAGTCAAGCATCTCATCACTGTCACATGCAATACTATTGGCCAAGCAGCCTTCTATAAGACTAGTTTCAGATGGAGAAACATAACATTTGAAGGAATCTTGCAACATTTCAAGGGTAATGCTCCCCTCACCAAAAATACAACCAGCAAGAAAGACTTTGCTTAATTTATAGGGAAAATACTGACTCTCAGTATATCCCTTAACAAGTATCCTCCCCACTGCTTCCCACTTATTGTGGTCAAAATCATGCCTAATATAAGGGACTCTTTCAGTCTCCCCCAGCATGTGGGACTCGTAGAATTCTTTCCAAAAGAGGGCAAAAGCTTCCCTTAGGACCCCATTTCCCTGACCAGCCTCTTCATGGCCAAGCTGATTTATTATGATGGCATTTAAACTGGACTTAAAAATGAAAGGATCTGAAAAGATGTCAAGCATATCAGCTCTTACATTTGACCTGTGAACTCTGATGACTTTAGTTGGCACTTCACCATTATTTGATGGTGAAGTTGGTGGAAATATTTCATTAACATCAACTACCACTTCATAACTATTAACTGACTCATTGTTCTCCATTTCTGGCAAGTAAGGCATTGGATCTTCGGTCATAAGTAGTTCCCCCGGGTCTGTGGATACAGCTTTACTGTTTTGATGTTGCAATGATGAGGAACTTCCATGAACGAGGTTTTCTGAGAGGTCACCAGTGAATTGAGTAAATGATGGTATCATAAGCTCTTCATCATCTTCATCCCTATCTATCTCTTCAAAGGGCTCCAGACATCTGATTACACACTCCCTTGACCTGAAGAGTTTTATTATTCTCTCACCATCCATTCTAACTCCCTTTGCTAGTTTTGGCGTTACTAGAGTTCCATAACAAGCCTATAAAAAAATACAGTTACAATCACAAGAATGAAGCAAGTTCTCAGAAACACCTTTCAAAGAATGCACGACTGAGTTAGCCACTTAGAACTAGACATTATCTACCGTGTAGGAGTTCTTCTTGGAGTCTGCCTTACAACTTAATGTACTTCCTAAATTAATATACTCAGTTTCACTATTAGTTCTTTATCTCACCGAGCAGGAGAAAAACCAAAAAATTACCTTGAGGTATTCAAACATAATATCCTCTCTTGGAAGTTGACTTTCAATATTTCTTTTCAAGTCTAAGTAAGACCAGTTTCTATTAAAAGGAAGCTGGTGGATAATCAAGCCCCTCTCTTCGAGCTTCACTCTGTTGACGTGACTTGGTACTTGGTTTGCATTAGAGTTTGGAATTATTACCAGGTCTTTGTGGAAAATTGTCTTACTGGGACGCCCACTCTTGTTTCCTCGTGACTTGGAACTCATAAAAGCACTCGCTGAAGTTCGTTTTCTAGTTGCGGTGACCCCACGCGCGCTGTAAGTTGGAAATCGACGAGCGAGCTCTGCTGCAATCGAAGGGCTTGATGATGGAACAGAGGAAGTCGAAGCAATGTTGGTAGCTGTGAACGCTGCCACATTTCGAATGTCATTATTCTGTAGATTGCCGATGGCTTCGAGGGCCTGCTTAGCTATGGCACACGCCGAGGAGATATGCTGCAAGTCTTCGTTATTGTCGGTCATTTTGTTAGAGTCCTAACGCAATGCATTGTGGAAATTACAAAGTCAAGTTGACCATATAAAAAGTCGAGTTGAACATAGAAAAAGTCAAAAGTTGAGCATGTAAATAGTCAAGTTTACCGTAGAAAAAGTCGAGTTGGCCAGACAAATAGTCAAAAGTTGAGCATGTAAAAAGTCAAGTTGATCATATAAAAAGTCGAGTTGGCCATACAAAAAGTCAAAAGTTGAGCATGTAAAAAGTCAAGTTGACCATATAAAAAGTCGAGTTGGCCATATAAAAAGTCGAGTTGACCGTGTTAGAGTAAACTGGGCCACAGTAATACAGAGGGAATATTGACTGGGTTGGCGCCCCATATTAGAGTCCTTTCGTGTGTTTTAGCACGGACATATGCAAGAAGCTCAGTTGCGCGCCATGTTTGATTGGGCCGTGCGACGGAGCTTTGCCCGAGGTGAAAGATTTCAGTCTCAGCTCACAATGTAAGAGAAATCGAACAGATTGAGCGCAAAAATCTTACCGGAAATTATACGGAATACTTTCGCAGGTATCACAAGAGAACGTGTTTAAAAGTTTGCGAGGTTCGTTTAAAACATAATGGTTGCAGGCGTTAATATGCAGCTTTAAACGATAGACGAGATGTAAGCTGAAATCTTTCTAGATTTTTTGTACAGTTAACTGGTACTGAAACTTTTCCAATCCCGTGAAGTTGTTTCGTCGCAAGGGCCACGCAGGTATGTCAAGCAACTGGCGCTTACATCTTTCTGTGCGCGCTAAAATCTAATCTCCTTCGGCTAGTTGTTTAGGCAAGGTTCAGCGTGTTTTTTTACGACAATGAATAATCCGGGTAAAAATGTTTCAGATCGTTGTCGAGTATGCTGTTCTGTTTTTATCACCATTAAGAGAAAAAGAAATCTTAATGGCGTGTTCATGAAAATATTTGAAGAAGTTTTCAATCAAAAGGTTTTACCAGACGATGGTCTTCCGCGTGCAGTTTCGGACACTTGTCGCTTTAGAATTGAAACATCCTGGAAACGTAATTGTAACAAAGAGGCATCGATAAAAACTTGCAGTGGGCAGAGTACCCAAACAAGAAAATCGAACTGTTGCTGTTTCCCAGTTTGTACAAGAGGAACATTTGTCAAGGTATGCACAAATGCAATACAACCTATGTTAAAAAAAAAAGAAAAAAGAAAAGCTAAGCGTGGAAACTTTTGTTTATTAGATGTAGGTAGATGACCCTGTACTAAGCTGACAATTACCGTGTGGAGCAAACCCACCCTTTCCATCCAATATTTCTTGGTCTTTTGGTTTTGTTTTCCCCAATGAAAACAGCATCGATTCCCAATGATCTAAGGTATTTAACTTGGTCTTCAACAATCGACAAAAGAGGTGAAATGACAATGACCAAGGGACTAGAAGAGAATCCGTGGCCTTTTGAGCTCAAGAATTTGAACACTCTAGGCCGCAGTTGAAAGATTAAACTCTTTCTAAACCCCATGCATCGGCAACTACCCGATGACATCTCTCCTTCCCACGATGTTCTCGATAATACGTTTTTGTTCAGATTTTAATTCGCTAACCGAAAACACAGCTAAGCTTTCTCTAAGCGATTGCTAGAGGTCGTTTACGAACCTAACGTTCTCTGCAACCTTGGACCATACTGTGAAAGACTTTGCTACGAAGCGAAAGTTAGATTTTGGCGCGCACAGAAAGGGTAGTCTGGAAGAGCCGGAATCCGGAATTCCGCCGGAATATTTCAACGTCTGTTTTTTTAATTCAAAACGACTCCGATGATTTTCCGAAGAGTGTACGAACTCCGAATATACTCCGATGACTAACCAAAAACTGTCCGAGGGTCTCCGAAGTTACCCGGAGATCCTCGAGGAACAATCGAACCTTACATTGTGTGCTCGTTGAGACTGAAACTTTTCACCTCGAGCAGAGCTCCGTCGCACGGCGCGGCCGCGGCCCAAGCAAACATGGCGAGCAACTGAGCTTCTTGACTATCACCGTGTTAAAACACACGAAAGCACACTTCACTCTGATTGGGCAGAAAAACAAAAAATTTTCTGGCACCACTCAGATGCCAGAACGACTGCGATCGCTTGGAACTAGTCTTGTAAGACAATGTCCCCAGGGGCTCTTCCGCCGTAACTTGAAATCGACTCACAGCCCCTAGGTCTCGGAGGATGATACTCCGCCTGCACTCGGCCGATATTCGACCGATGGTGCCGACCGACACTATCTACGGTAAACACGATCCAACAATTAAAAAAAAAAAAACAAAAAAAAAACAATAGTATGTATATATTCTCACTACTGTTCTCTATACATTTCCTCTGGTGCCAACCAAAGGACGAGAAAAACTCGTTCACCAAATCACTAGGAAGAGCTTCTCTTTAAAATTGTCTACCATTTCCTTTCTTCTCATGACTTTATTGCTCGATTCAAGGATGGAGTTGTAAGGAGAAATTAATTACTTAACACCATTAGGGTTTAAAGGGCTAATGGAACGAAATCACGGATTACAACCTTTACAGAAAGAACCTTCCAGTGCCTACAACCCCAGTAGAACGAGGTCCTCAAGGGTGGTCTCGTACCCAGGTTTTTCACAGCCTGCATTTCAATCACATTTACACGGCAGGATCTGGGCACGAAATTACCTTAAGGGCAGGGAGGGAAATTTTACTTTCCTGGGAAGACCGGTGAGGTGACTACAATGGTTACTATACGCTTGTATCACGATTGGGATTACGACAATTAAGGAGAACCAACGAAGAGAAGCTTAACTTGTGATGTTCAGAAAGACGCTCATTGTTCATTTGTCTTTTTTACAGTTACTCTTAGCCGCTGCAATGGGATTGTTGATATGGCGATATAGAAACAAGGGTATCGTAAGTGCAAATAACTTTTTTTTTCATATATAGAATATATAACAAGAAACTTTACACTTTATCGACTATGATAAATGTTCTTTTTTTTGTTTCTTTAATCCGTGTGACTACCAAACTTGGAGGGAACAGAATGTGTACCAGATGGAAAATTCCTTATTTTTCCGGTTTCATTCAATATGAATTATATTATTTCTCAGTGAAAGGATAGAAAAAATGCGAAGTATCTGTAACCCGAGGTACCTAGGCCTCTGTTCTCCTCCTGGTTCTCTTTGCATCCCGGCTGTGTTTCTATAGTTTCCAGTAAAAGGTTTTCTCATTTAGAGCGGTAGACCGCCATCAAATGGCACATCACTGTTCGAGACTCTCTAAAAGTCTTGGTATTGAAGAGTGAATTGAACCACAACAGAGAATATAAAAACATGCCGATTTTGTCTTTTATTCTACAAACTGTTAGAGTCATGTTCAACTCAGCAGTCAGCATATCCAAACTGTTCTAAGGTAGAACGTGACACATAGCAGAATTATCTCTAAGCCGCCTGGTTAGCTCATGTTGTAGAGCGTCGGACTACCGTGCAGGAGGGGGAGGGTTCAAGCACCAAACCGGACCAACATTCAGGGTCTTAAAATAACTGAAGACAATGTGCCGCCTTTGCTATGACATATGCAAATGGTTTGACATTCTAGTCTTCTCGGATAAGGACGAAAAACCGAAGGCCCCATCTCCTACATTTCCTCTGTACTGGTTGGCAGGGGACGTTAAAGAACCCACACGATATCGCGCAGAGGAGGGAATGTAGCTCCCGGTGTTGTGTGGTCTGGCCTCGTCATTGTTTACGAGGGATCCACTGTAATTGGCTAGGCTGTAGTGGTCTCTCTGCCTAAGATAATAAGGCGAAGCTAAATATCTAAATAAATAAATTTTGTATCAGCACGAACCAACGCGCCCCTCTTCTTCACCATTTGATCTTGAAAATGTTAGACAGCAAAGGCAAAAAATAGAGAAAGATCACGTGCTCATCTATACTGTTTCAATAATTTTGTTTGTTTTGTTGTTGTTATTGTTGTTGTTTTTTTAAGGACTGTCTGATGTGTTCTTTGTAGATGATAGCTTTCCTTGTTACATGCATAATTCTGGTGATTATTGTGGGAATCCAGACCATCATTGCCGCCTTGGCGTATATCTTATGGCGTCTGTTCAGGGTCGCTACAGACTGTCAAACCTATGGTGGAAAATGCCACTGTCGGAACGTCAATGGCGAAAAGATTCCCATTGATCGTAAGTATAGTCAATACATGCACAGTTCAGTACTGAACAATAGTTAAGGACGCTCAAGGCCGGGGCTCTCGTATGAGAACAGCTCAACTTTATCTGTGGCCTCCACATGAGAGTCCTTGACGTGACAGGTGACATTTTTTGCGAGTCGAGCGCGAGGCGAGACACAGGCGACCGGAACTCTTTCGCTCGCAAATCTTGCCCCTCGCGCTTCCTTCGCGCTCCTACGCGATGTTCTCCCTCCGCCTGAAAAAACACAAAAATTGACGCATATTCTATAGGTTAGAAAAGACTCCATCATGGAGTCTAACACAAATTCCCATAAGCGACCACCTCCAATTACGTATGATTATATTTCCTCTAAATTAATGTCTACCCACAACGGCCTAACGGCGGAGGGTGAGTTGCCAGGGGGTGGAGGGGGAGGGGAGACTTAGAGGAAACTTGGGTACAAGTTTGTCGCCTAGACCTTCGAACCCTGACCCTTTTTTAATGTCTACAACAAAAGAAAAAACCTCCTCCTTTCTTGGATATTTGTAGACATCATTCTTAGGGCACCTTTACTAGCATTCCGAGTTAAGATTAGAGTTAAGGGACAAATGTTTAGTAGCACTGCACGCTTAACCGTTTAAATTGCGATACATACAGTCAAATTAAGAATCTTTTCGAAGCTCCCGATCAGGAAGTACTGTACTCTCTATTCAAGACGCTAAAAAGTAAAATGCAATTTTGCCCTCGCTTGCTAAAATTGTGTGGGCCAGTGTGTGATGTTTTTGGCTGGGGCAATTATTTGGTATGCACTACCTTTAAATCAAGCGTAGCCGAACTGACCGACTGCAGCTATAGGAAAGAGATTTACTAGATCCTAATTATTATCGCTGCTGTCTTTTGCCAGTGGAAGCATGTGACCTGATCACCTCCATCGACAGCTTGTTCCTGTCCATAACCATTTTTTCTGCCCTTGGTACCATCATCTCTCTCGCTGGCTCTATTCTGGGATGCATGGGAACGTGTTGTGCAAGAACTCAGGTAATAAATTTTGAACAATCAGTTTCTCTTGCTCAGAAAATTTCATACCCCACTGACTTAGCCTGTGAGACGGGCAGACAAGGAGGCATCAAAACCAGTTGCTAGACACCTAAATCTACCTAACCATCCTAAGCAGCATATGGCTATCTGCCGTCTTTCCTTACATTTGGTAGCTCGGAAAGCCGCAAAACTCTTGGACAAAAGTTTATCTTTCAAATCGGCACTATTAACCCCATAGGTATCAACGAACGCTTTTCATTCTACTAATCTATTCATGTTTATCTCGTCACCATGTTCCCACCAATAGCGTAGCTCCACTTTCTGCATATAAACCACACACAACCCACAATTCCTCCACTCGCCCTGACGAAGGGCTAACGCTCGAAACGTCAGCTTTTTAATTAACTCTTTACGGTGGCCAATTTACAGTTTCAGCAGCCGAATGTAAAATGTTTTGAGTGCGCCTTGAGAAAGCAATTTTTACAAGAACAAGTTCACTTGCCTTACTTTTATCCATAATTTTTATTGAATTTTATTATGTAGTTATTTATTTGTTCAATTTTTTATTATAGAACTATCACCTTGTTTATAGTTTAATATTGTAACTTTCACTCAATTAAAATAGAGGGCCACAAGTTTATTAGTTTTTAACTATTATGTGCTAACCTCTTTAAATAGACTACTACTAGAGGTCTGCAATAGCAAATACCAGACTCCTAACAAAACGTGGGCAGAAGCCATAGCAATTCAGAAGAGTGTGGGTGTTACAAGCACAATATACTTTTTGCCACTTTGGTTCATGCTTTTAAAATGTTTTTGTGAGTAATGGTCAAATCGAGTTCTTATCTAATGAGTGTCTCTGTTGAAACTACAACATTTCAGTTGTTCTAAATGTCCAGTTTCCTAATTACAGAAAATGTTCTGTTTTCTATCTTACCTATCTCATTTTAGCAGCCAGGAGCAGTAGTTGTGGTCCAGCAGCCATCTGGTACCCAGTCTTCTGTGGTATACACTGTCCCCCAGTACCCAGCCCAGTACCCAATGGCTCAACCTGGACAATATCCAGCACAGCATGCTGCAGCCCCAATGGGCCACTATCCTCCACCCCAGTACTCTGCTACTGCACCAGGAGGAGTACAGCCTGGAGATGAGGGTATACCACCCAAAGCATAGTGGAACAGTTCAAATCTAAGAGTGTCTGGAAAGGACATTCCCTTTTGCTGTTGCCAAAAACATGTGACATTTATTTAGAAATCAAAATAACAAGTTTCCAGTAAAACAAAACAAAAATATTTTCCTTTCAGAAATGTGATGTTTGGAGATCATGCCAATTTCATTTGCATTAATTCATCCATTTGCTACCTGTTTTAGATAAAAATTTCCTAAAATATCTGTTTACTTTTACTGAATTAAAGAGGAAATCAACTATGTTTATGGCTTCATTGTGGAAATAACAAAAAGCTTCTTTAGTCCATGTTTGCTCTAGAGCTTCTCAAATGACAATCGGGCTATGTTATTATTCTACCTTTTTTTCCTTTTGTTTGGAAACATATCACAAGTTAATTACATATAGACTGTGTGATTTACCTTTGTAGAAACAAGACAGAGTGCCAAATATCAGTGTCATTCTTTGAAATCCCATTGTGTGCAATGGGGAAATTTTTCATCGTTAGCCGCAAACCTTTTAAAGAATTAGACCTGTATGATACACTGTTTGTAGTTTAAAACATATTGGATACAGTTTGTTATGGGAAACTTTAAAAATACCTGTCAATAGTAATTAGATAATTTAACAGATTGTCTTGTGTACCCATTAAAGTTTTTAAACTATCCTTGGTGGCATTCAGGTCATTTCCTCTGAAGCACAACATCTAGCTGACCAAGCATTTCACCTTTTGATCGAGATGACAAATATCATGCTATCTAGTAGTCCGCTCGTAGAAAAGCATGTAAGCACAACTTGATAAAGCTTGATCTCGTGATGTCACCTCAACTAGTTCATCAGATGTGTAGAGCCATTTTGAGCCCTGCTCATTGCCCTGCTGTGGCATTTCAAATCTGCGATAAGTAACGTAATGACCATCATCAACAGTTCCCACATGAACAATGACTGCCATCAGCTTGAAAATTGCCTGGCCTGTACTAGAAGAAAAAGAAGTTCTTATTAGCAATCCATTACAGTTCTTGACCTTAGCAATAAGAACAGGGTTTCTGAAGTTCTCTTGAACATTATTACTTTCATAACATGTTCTTATAAGCATCACTTACATCTCATTTCACCCTCTTTGACCCCTTATCTCCTAGGAGTGACCAGAATGTAATTTCTCCTTACATTATTATATTACACCTGAATCATTAAGGTCATGAGAATAAATTAAACGATCACCAACTCATAAAACTCTTGAGTGTTGAACAAATTCTCCTTGTTGAAGCATCTTGGAGAGAAGTATGGAGAAAATGGACACTGATGCTTGGGTGTAAAGGGTTAAAACTCTGTGTTTCACAGAAAAACTCAACTGAGTTGTCAAAAGTGCATTATGAAGGAGATAAAGTGGGACAGCATTATAGGCTGAGAGTAATAAATTGAGATGAAAACAAAAACTTTCTTTGACTCTTTACACCTTTGGGGTTGAAGGGTTAACAAAAGAAAGAATCAGTTGAAAAAAAAGCAACTGGAATTTTTTAAAAATTGATTTTTGATTTACCTCTTTTTGCCTGATTTTGCAAAGGATGTGACCAGTTCATCCAAATAATCGTTAAAATCTCCTCCATCAGCTGTCAACAGTTGAAGGCCTTCATTTGTCAGTGAACTCAACTTCTTCCTGGGATGTTCCTTCCCTTGGTCATTTTTTGGGAAATGGTTTGAGTCCAAGGGCTCATATAAAAAGGGCTTCATGTCAAGGAACTCTGGAAACTTAATGAATGAGTTATTTTTTAATGGAATCCCATTAGAATGCCAATACGTCCTTTGTATGTGGATGCAAAGACATTGCGGCAACTGAAAATTCACAAGAAAAAAAGTGTTACAAAAAAGCATAAAAAAGCTGCTTTGGCTACTCTCCTTTTTCCCAGCAAGAAAAAATTGATATTCCAAAGTTAGAACTTAACCCTCTGCACAGTAACATCAGTGTACATATTCTTCGCAGTGTTCGATTCTCTATACCTTTTTCTATGATAATGACAATTTCTTAAGCTGGTGATCATTTATCATCTTCTCACAACCTTAATGTTTCATTCAGTGGTGATAGTGTAAGGAGAAACTACATTATAGTCACTCTATTAAGGGTTAAAGGGTTCAATATCAACGGCCAATATGTAAAGTTACTTTTCCAAGAGTAAGCCGCTTAATAAAAGTTGTCCGAATAGAGCTGGTTAAGTCATCTGTGTTTTGCCTTTGTCGACATCCATGACATTCCACAGCATCCACGGTCTCTGAACACACAAATCTGCCCAAAAGATCCTCTAACCTCAAGCCCTTCTGTAACAGAATTACAGATCAAAATTTATAATGTCATGCAGGTAAAAGATTATACCAAATCCTCATAAATGCATAGCAGCAAGAGAAGGGAATTAACAATCAGATCTTGGGAGTTGATACCTGGAAAGTTGTTGGTAGACTGAGCGATAGGCTGTCATAACTGTCAAACTTGACGGGACACTGTCAAAAAAAACAAAACAAAACAAAAACAGAACAAATATTGAAATACAAATAACTTGGGAGTATTCAACTGATTGTTGAACATCTAGTGAAGTGAATATATGAAAATCATATATGTGTAGTGATCTTCATAGTAATAAACCCTACTTATGTAGTAGTAGATATAAGCCCTAAAAAATATTCAGGCCCATATGGGATCTGAACGCATAACCTTTGTGATACTGGTGTTGCGCTCTACCAACTGAGCTCATGACCAACTTGGAGTTGGTTATTATGCTGGTTCATAAAAACACACGAAGTGATGAATCATAAATTCAAATTCATTCATTCCTCACTTCACAGGTTTAATACTAACCAACATAATGACCAGCTCCCAGTTGGCTCATTAGGTCTTATTTCCACTACTACATATTAAGTAGGGTTCATCTAGTGAAGTTTTAAAGGTGACTCAGAGTCAGAGCATGGTTAACATCACATATTATGATGCTAGTTTGTAGAATTTGGTACTAGATCAACTACTAACTGGCCCCTAATTGACATTTCTCTTTATGCTCATCAAATTATTGTTTCGATTGATATTGTATTGACAATGTAACGAAAAATTCCGTCTTTGTTACTTCTGGAAATGAAAGGGTTAAATAAGATTGCCATTACATAAGATGACAATGACAATCATATTTATATATATAAACTGCTACCTAAGTGAAAATACCAATAGTGTAATAGTCATCAAACAATTGCCTTCCCAGTTTGGTGGGAAAAATTATAAATGAGTACAATTCACCTTGGTTCCACACTGCTTACAAACCAACTGACTTGCTAACAAGCCATGAAATGGCAAATGAAGTTTTTTACATTCTTTAGGGAGAGGGACTAAAAGAAAATATATTAGAGTTCAGGAGAGATTTCCATTACATACATCTAAATTCAGAGAGAAAAATTCATTCATTCATTTCATTTTATTTGCCATTACCAGAAAAAAAAATTAACTAAATACAAAATTTAAAATACATCAAAGATAAAAAGAACTATTCTAACTAAATTAACTTCAAAATCAAAGGAACTGAAGAGGTAACAGCAAGGAAGCCTATTAGAAGCAGGGGGCTTATAAGGTATAGGCTTCCTTAAATTATAGGATAAACCATAAAAATCAAAGGTGCTGAATGAAAATTTAGATAAGTTAAAAAAAAAAATTAAATAAAATAAAAAAAGAAAAGGAGTGTAGCTTAACAAAGAATATATTTAACTAAGAAAGAAGAATATTTTTTTAAGCCTTTTGCTCAGTATATGTAAACAAGCTGATGCTTTCAGAGTATTGAGTTTCCCGACTTAGTGTGTAGAAAAACTTAGGACCTTAAACCGAATTGAAAATTTTTTAAAATTAGTTCGACAATGAGGTATGTAGAAAAAGCTGGAATTTCTTGTATTATAAGAATGTATCTGGCTAGCAAGAGTGAACATATCATGAAAATAATTTGGACGTAAGCCTCTTTTAAACAGATACATAAATTTACCTATTTAGTAGAAATAGATGTCCGAGAATTTTAAGATCCCATGTTCTTTAAAAAGAACATCGGTATGTGAATCAAAAGAAACTTTAGATATGATTCTGATTATCTTCTTTTGCAGAATAATAATACGATAATAAAGATAAGCAAGTTGATGCTGATGAATCATTCTTGGGCTTACCAACATGAAAAACATTTAGACAGCATTACTTCAAAACTCAGAATTGCAAAGAATTCTTTGATTGAGTAAAACAAAAACAGAACATAAAATACCTTTGTTTCTGTGTACCATGGATTTGCCGTCATTTATTGAATCATCAGTTTTCTGCACAGGAAGGATGTTAAGCACTTACTACAGAGAACAATTGCAACAGATGCAGTGGTCTAAAATGAAGAATACTCCACTCCAAGTCAAGACAATCTTGCCAGGACATGTTTTGTTAACAGGTCCCCTTTTAAAATTTTCAATAAATCAAAATGCATTTATCATTTACCTCTACAATTGCGATATCACTGAGATCCATCATGCTGGGAAGATCACCCTGTGAAATAAGTACTCAGCACTGAAAATAGGCTATATCATTTTAAAGAAAGTACCATGGATAATTACCAGTTTTAAAATTACCATGACAAAGCAGTGACTTTTTTTTAAAACTCGAGTTTCCGGATGGGATTTGAACCCACGACCCTCCGTGATCTAGTCGGATGCTCTAACCACTGAGCTACAGGAGACTCTATGGTGAGCAAGGGTCAATTAGTGGGTATTGACTGGAACCGCATCACGCGGCTACACAGCCAAACATCAGCTAGCGCATAGAAGCTCACTAACAGCATCACGCTGTCACATTAAAGCATCACATGCATTAAAGCATCACATGCAGCCAACCAGCCTCCAAAGTGAGCATGTAAAGATGAAATAAACTCCTGTAGCTCAGTGGTTAGAGCATCCGACTAGATCACGGAGGGTCGTGGGTTCAAATCCCATCTGGAAACTCGATTTTTAAAAA